ATCACAAATTGTTAAGTTGGCATTAACAATTATTAAACTATTACTAATTGACGCAAAGATATTATTATTATACGTATTAAAAGTATCACAAAGCATGTTTCGACTACGCGGTTTTTACACATTCTTCTACCAATTAACGAAAATTACGTTCCCTGTTAGTGTGGTTACGCATTGAATGTTTCTGCGGCCTAATCACAACTGCGTGCTTCGCCTAATCAATAGTCGGAGCTTATAATCAGCACAGCGGATCTAATGAACAAATGCACAATTTATGCCGTGAATTGGATTATGCATTTGCGACTAGTCCCTATAATGCAAAAATATTAGCGAAGGCGCGAGCAATGCAACGTGATGTCGTCACGTCTGAGTTTGAATGTGATTATGTCACGACATGGGAAATTTGACATCGGAAAACGAAGGGGAGGGCATGTGGTTGGAAGCTAGGCAACGGCCTCTGGTAGAACGCTGACATGGCGAGCCTATATACGCTACATGCAGTAGCAATTCATCTCATGGCATTGACATTCACGGTTGAGGCGTACGCCTCAACGATGATGAATGTGCGGGTTAACTTTGTGCAATCATTTATTGAGATTTGCTTTTGAATAACTATATGTCTGCGAGAGCTTGACGGGATTACATGGACGCGACAACGATAAATGATATCTTCTTATAGTACTAGGAAGCAATGTTTACAATAATAAAAGCAAAATGTTAGTTAATACCAGCAACACTATCGAAAACGAAAAGTCATATCATTGAGTTTTAATTATATCTCAATCTAACAAGTTGTAAGGTTAAACGTAGTACTATTTTATGAATAAATTGCCCCTATGCTCATATTATCATGTACATAAACACAAGAGTGACTATACACGTAATAAAGTGTTAAATGACCAACGGAGAACTGATTTTGGGTTTAATTCGAACAGCACAATTCGCGCACTGTACAGACCGAGATAAGAGATGTCGTCACGAAACAGCTGTTTTGTCGCGTATCACTTCAATTTAACGTTTTGTCTGTTCTCTTATTCAACGTCTATGCCTATTGATATTATTAAGGGACATCGATCTGCTTGGATTATTGATAGCCGACTTTTCTGTCTAGCACCATAATCGTAAACGTCGTTGTTGCCAGTAATTTCGCTTGCAATATCAGCAGCTATCACCGTGGTAGGATGTTGGCTGTAAACTTTTCTTATATCGGCAACGACGTTGTTTGTTGGCTGTAATCTCGACTGATCTCACGGAGCACACGAAATAAACGCTGATGTTTCTGTACGTTGGTCTCGTGTCAGACTAACAGGTCCCAGCAGGACGCTTCGAAGGGTTTGCTCAAAATGCCTCGGACGCGACAAAGGCGTAAAAAATCAGAGCATCGCGACTGTGGCGTGACTGACTCTCCCATGAGGCCCTCGTGAGAATCTCTTCACCGCCGTTGCCACGGAAACTGGCATAGCGTTCACGAACGTGGGAAGGCGCGCTTTCCACGGGATGCGAACCGCGATCTCACATCGTAACGCAGTGCACTCGCAGTGTGTTTACCATAAATGAAAGCGCGGCGGCCAAGTACGGTTGCCTTTACGGAAGACGAAAGCTCGATGAATTATACAGCACGCTTCTTTCTGTGTGGGTGTTGCTATCCCTGGGCGTGGAGTGAGAGTCACGTGATAGCAGTTGACGTATACTTCAAAACTTAACAATAACCCTAACTCCAACACTCCAACACTCCCCGATCAGTAAGTAAAATGTATAGATCGCTATATATAGGGGGTGTAATCCACAAAAATGAATCTATGGTGTGGCACAGTTATCATGATGCAAAAACCCTAACCCTAACCCTAACCTAACCCTAACCTAACCCTAACCCTAACCTAGCCCTAACCCTGACCCTAACCCTGACCTTAACCCTAACCTAACCTAATACTAATACTAATACTAATACTAATACTAATACTATACTAATAATATTAATCCTAATACTAAGTGCTGCCCCGTTGCGGTAGCACTCCACCCGGGGGATAGCAAACACCCTTTCTGTGTGCAAGGTGCATCCAAAGTCAAGCACAGTAAAGACAAAGTTGTAGCTAATAGTACTTACGCAGGTCGGTATAAACGCGAAAAGCTGAAACACACGGTTGCGAACATCTGAATTTGCGTGGAAAGCCACTTTCAATGCAAATTTTCACCGATCTGCGGAGTGTTACTTTTACTTTTTTTCACCGTTTGTTCGTGCTGTTCAACAATTTATTCACAGAATGGTTGACGCCCGCTTGCCAACAAAGAACTGCGCTTTTTCAATCTTGGATTTGAATCGTGTTTTTCAGTAGGCGCTCTGTTGTCTACTATGCAGTTGTATAATAGAATAAGTGCACGTGATTTATTTGAGTAATCTTTGTCAATTTTTGTGCTTTCTGCGGTGAACGAAATGAGGGCAAAGAGTCGCCATCAGATTTGCTGTTGTGCTGTCGTATTTTTTGCCATCACTCTTACTATCGCTGCCTATATTATTACTGTTGCTGTCCTGCAGCTGTCGCTCTCTCTATATACTGTCGCTGTCGCTGTCATTGTTCTGTCTTGTCGCTATTACTGTCAGCACTGTATTTTCATAATAACTCCCACTGTGACCATTTTGCTGTCACTGTCACTATCACTTCCATTGTTTTGGCACCGACAAATCACTCACTCACTCACTCACTCACTCACTCACTCACTCACTCACCTCACTCCACTCACTCACTCATGCTCGCCATCACTCACTCACTCACTCAACATCACTCACTCACTCACTCACTCACTTCACTCACTCACTCACTACTCACTCACTCACTCACTCACTCACTTACTCACTTACTCATTCACTCACTCACTCACTCATTCACTCACTCACTCACTCAATCACTCAATCACTCAATCACTCAATCACTCACTCACTTCCTCGTTCAGTCACGCACTCATGCACTCACTCACTCACTCACTCACTCACTCACTCACTCACGGCGGATGTTTTGCATTTGCATTTCCTGTATCATTGTCTCTGTTAGGCCTAACTATTAACGATTTAACGATGCATTCAATGCGCATCAAAGCGTACAAGGCGTGCCAAGGCGTGCGGCAAGAAGATTCGCCTGTCATTGTTATTAGCAAAATCGATTAGAAAACTTTCGCCGATATAGTCATATGGCCGACATAGTCATGTGAGAGAGAACGCACGTATGTCGTGCACGGATTTGAGAAAAATGCCGCCGCTGAGAAATTCGACTGATTACAGTTCGTGGCTTTGCTCTAATCGGTGCTGTTTGATGGACACGGCCGTAGCGGAGTCTGTGCTGCCTATCGTGTTCAAAATGATGGAGTCGTACAGTGAAAACAGACGCGGTGTGTGTACGCGTACGTGATAACATCTCCCGGCGCGGGTCGGCGGATTAGCTGCTATACTCCGATAAACGACGTTTATAAACACACACACGCGCGCACACACACACACACATACATACACACACACACACACACACACACACACACACACACACACACACACACACAAACACACGCACACACACACACACACACATATATATAGACATACACATACGCACACACACACTCGCGCGCGCGTATATGCTATAGCAACTCTATCCCCTATTATCAGCATTTTATCATAAAGCTTCCGAAAAAAGTTTGCGAAGCATTACATGAAAGTGCGTGTAATACTAATAACGCTGACGAGGGGATTTTTCTGCTGCCCACATAATAATATAATCACCACTAAAAGCATCAGGAAGACCAAGCTATGTATATATACTACTTTAGCACGACCTCATACTGAACCTCATATACATACTATATACATACAGGGGCCTATACATACACACACGCACACACACGCGCACACACGCGCGCGCACACGCACACACCACAAGCACGCACACACAAACATTCACACACAACACGCCCGCTACCCGCCCTCTCCAGTTTACCCCGTCTCATGTTCATCGTCCCTCATCCGTTTACCCTCGCTCTCTTATTTACCCCTTCTCGCCCGTTCTCTCTCCCTCGCTTCTGTTCCATCGGCTACCCACACGTCCTCCCTCGCCTACGCCACCCACACGTTACTTCCCGGCGTCTCATCCGAATAACCTGTCCCCGCAGCAACTAATTTACGGACACGCGTATGAACAAAGCCGACGAAATTATTTGAACGCCGTGTCGCGGTCGCGTATGGTAATTGCTGACGACTCAGCGATAATTCTTCTCTACGATCTGCTCAGAGCCGACTCTCACATCGCATTGACGCTGCCTCTCTTTCTCGCTCTCACAAGTTGGCTTTCCGAGCGTATCGACCTTTGTCACCGAGCAGCCGCGGAGGTGGCACTAACTAGGTAGAAACATTCCCCGATGTCATCAGTTGCTCGCCCTGTGCCGTGCGTAATTAATTGCAAGTCGTAGCACTGCATTTTGGCCGCGCATGCGCCAACAACAAATATATCACAGCAGCAGCGCCGTCTATATCACGCCGAACGATTAATTTATAAGGAACTGTTCGACTATTAACGGCTAAACTAACTAAGCGGTTTATTGCAGCGGAGCGGCGCGTGTCAATTTACGATATTTTCTTCTCGTCGTCCGTAGAGAAAAGATAGATAATCGTCTCCGATTTCTGCGTTTATTTATGATATTGCCGTCTTCTCTCGTCAGCGTGAGCTGGAAATTCGTCTCTGAATCTCGTGCGTAAATTTATGATCACTATCGTCTTCCTTCGTGCGGTGAGCAGAGATGCGTGGACGAGTCTGAGACAGGCGCGCTCGTTCATGAGACTGCCTTCTCCTGCTCGCCATCAGCGCGCAGAAAAGAACGCGCGCTCGCGTCTCCGAGATTCGCACCTGGTAATTTCTAATATCGTTCTCTCCTTCTTCTTTTTTTCTCTCTCTCTCTGATCTTCTAGGAGTCGGTTGAAGGCCGCCTGGCCGCGCGCCGACGAGCCATGAATGGGCGACAAGATGAGACGGCGATCGCGCTCCTTGTACGAACCGCTGCTCGAATTCACCGACGTGCAGACCGATAACGTGAGCGCCTTCTTCTCGAGTCTCCGCTTCCCCGGACCGCCCACGGGCGACGACGGCAGCGACGATGGCGATACCGGCGACGATCTATCTGACTGGTCGTCGCTACGCGTCGTCAGTGAAGCAACGTTTCGCGACAGCGCCGAGAACATTTCGGCGATCGATTTCAACGTCTCCGATTTCTACAATCTATCGTCGTCGGCGGCGGCGAATCTGACGACGAATGCGAGCGACGCCGACCTGCAGGAGATCGACCTGCGCCATCCCGTGCTCGGCGTGCTGCTGTTGTTCTTCTGCGTGGCGACAGTGTTCGGCAACATGCTTATCGTCGTGTCGGTGGCGCGCGAGCGATATCTGCGCAGCGTCACCAACTACTTCATCATGTCGCTCGCCATCGCCGACCTCAACCAGGGAGCCATCGTGATGCCGTTCGCCGCCATACACGAGATGACGCGAAACATATGGTTGTTCGGACCCGACTGGTGCGACCTCTGGCACTCGTTCGACGTGCTCGGCAGCACGGCGTCCATATTGCATCTGTGCGTCATCTCGCTGGATCGCTACTGGGCGATCACGGATCCGTTCGCCTACCCGAGCCGCATGTCGACGGGCCGCTCGTTCGTGCTCATCGCGCTCGTCTGGGTCTGCTCGGCTAGCATCAGCTTTCCGGCGATTGTCTGGTGGCGCCACGCGGCGCCGCCCGACGGCTACCCGACCGACCTGTGCCTGTTCACCGAGGACAAGGGCTACCTGCTCTTCTCGTCGCTCGTCTCCTTCTACATCCCGCTGCTCATCATGCTGTTCGCCTACTTCAAGATCTACCGGGCCGCCACCGAGCAGATGCGCAGCCTCAAGTGCGGCACGAAGAAGATGTCGGACGAGGGCACGGAGCTGACGCTGCGCATACACCGCGGCGGGCCGCGTCACGCGCTCAAGTCACCGCAGCGCGGGGACGGCGCGCTGCCGGAGCCGGGAGCCGAGACGCGGCTTTGTCCGCCGACGCCGGCCGCCAACGGCAGCGGCATGTCGTCGCGTCGCTTCAACTTCTCGATCAGCAAGCGGCTGGCGAAGATCGCCAAGGAGCAGAAGGCGGCGAAGACGCTCGGCATCGTCATGGGCGCCTTCGTCGTCTGCTGGCTCCCGTTCTTCCTCACCAACGTGCTGTCGGGCATCTGCGCCGCCTGCATCGTGCGGCCGGACATCGTCTTTCCCGTCTTCACGTGGCTCGGCTACATCAACTCGGCGATCAACCCGGTCATCTACGCGCTGTCGAGCCGCGACTTTCGGCGGGCCTTCTACAAGACGTGCTGCACGTGCTGTCCGAGCTGCGTCAGTAACTACTTCTATCTGCGCTACCGGCGCCGGATGGCCTACCAGAACAGCATCTCGTATTCGTACACGTACAGCTCGACGTCGTTCAACGCGTCGTTCCGCTTGTGACGCGGGGCAACGGCAAGTTCTCGCGATAGTCGCGCGTTCTCGCGAGAGTCGCAAGTTCTCACGATAGTTGCAACTTCTCGCGAGATATGCAAGTTCATGTGAGAGTTGCGCGTTCTCGCGATAGTCGCGCGTTCTCGCGATAGTCGCGCGTTAGGCGGCAGCGGCGATTTTCCAAGCATTCGTTTTCAGTGTAAGCGGCAATCGTCTTATGAGTACGGCCTTATACACCAACACTACACACATGGCTTAGGGCTATATATTATATATATATGTGGATATATATATATATATACGGACTACCACGGATAGAACTGGCTAGTATTGGTGGTAATACTAATCAGCATTACTTTGGATAGTTAAATAAAGTTGCCTCAACATACACAACATTACGGCTATTACCAAGCATGCATGCACTACAAATATCACAAATTGTTAAGTTGCATTAACAATTATTATAACTATTACTAATTGACGCAAAGATATTATTATTATCACGTATTAAAAGTATCACAAAGCATGTTTCGACTACGCGGTTTTTACACATTCTTCTACCAATTAACGAAAATTGCGTTCCCTGTTATGTGGTTACGCATGAATGTTTCTGCGCCTATACACAACTGCGTGCTTCGCCTAATCAATAGTCGGAAGCTTATAATCAGCACAGCGGATCTAATGAACAAATGCACAATTATGCCGTGATTGGATTATCATTTGCGACTAGTCCCTATAATGCAAAAATATTAGCGAAGGCGCGAGCAATGCAACGTGATGTCGTCACGTCTGAGTTTGAATGTGATTAATGTCACGACATGGGAAATTTGACATCGGAAAACGGAGGGAGGGCATGTGGTTGGAAGCTAAGCAACGCCTCTGGTACGTACGCTGACATGGCGACGCCTATATACGCTACATGCAGTAGCAATTCATCTTCATGGCATTGACATTCACGGTTGGGCGTACGCCTCAACGATGATGAATGTGCGGGTTAACTTTGTGAAATCATTTATTGAGATTTTGCTTTTGAATAACTATATGTCTGCGAGACTTGACGGGAATTAACATGGACCGAAACGATAAATGATATCTTCTTATAGTAACTAGGAAGCAATGTTTACAATAATAAAACAGCAAAATAGTTAGTTAATACAGCAACACTATCGAAAACGAAAAAGTCATATCATTGAGTTCTTAATTATATCTCAATCTAACAAGTTGTAAGGTTAAACGTAGTACTATTTTATGAATAAATTGCACCCTATGCTCATATTATCATGTACATAAACACAAGAGTGACTATACACGTAATAAAGTGTTAAATTGACCAACGGGAGAACTGATTTTGGGGTTTAATTCGAACAGCACAATTCGCGCACTGTACAGACCGAGATAAGAGATGTCGTCACGAAACAGCTGTTTTGTCGCGTATCACTTCAATTTAACGTTTTGTCTGTTCTCTTATTCAACGTCTATGCCTATTGATATTTAAGGGACATCGATCTGCTTGGATTATTGATAGCCGACTTTTCTGTCTAGCACCATAATCGTAAACGTCGTTGTTGCCAGTAATTTCGCTTGCAATATCAGCAGCCTATCACCGTGGTAGGATGTTGGCTGTAAACTTTTCTTATATCGGCAACGACGTTGTTTGTTGGCTGTAATCTCGACTGATCTCACGGAGCACACGAAATAAACGCTGATGTTTCTGTACGTTGGTCTCGTGTCAGACATACAGGTCCCAGCAGGACGCTTCGAAGGGTTTGCTCAAAATGCCTCGGACGCGACAAAGGCGTAAAAAATCAGAGCATCGCGACTGTGGCGTGACTGACTCTCCCATGAGGCCCCTCGTGAGAATCTCTTCACCGCCGTTGCCACGGAAACTGGCATAGCGTTCACGAACGTGGGAAGGCGCGCTTTCCACGGGATGCGAACCGCGATCTCACATCGTAAACGCAGTGCACTCGCAGTGTGTTTACCATAAATGAAAGCGCGGCGGCCAAGTACGGTTGCCTTTACGGAAGACGAAAGCTCCGATGAATTATACACGCACGCTTCTTTCTGTGTGGGTGTTGCTATCCCCCGGGCGTGGAGTGAGAGTCACGTGATACAGTTGACGTATACTTCAAAACTTAACAATAACCCTAACTCCAACACCTCCAACACTCCCCCCGATCAGTAAGTAAAATGTATAGGATCGCTATATATAGGGGGTGTAATCCACAAAAATGAATCTATGGTGTGGGCACAGTTATCATGATGCAAAAACCCTAACCCTAACCCTAACCCTAACCCTAACCCTAACCCTAACCCTAGCCCTAACCCTGACCCGAACCCTGACCCTAACCCTAACCCTAACCTAATACTAATACTAATACTAATACTAATACTAATACTAATACTAATAATATTAATCCTAATACTAGTGCTGCCCCGTTGCGGTAGCACTCCACGCCCGGGGGATAGCAACACCCTTTCTGTGTGCAAGGTGCATCCAAAGTCAAGCACAGTAAAGACAAAGTTTGTAGCTAATAGTACTTACGCAGGTCGGTATAAACGCGAAAAGCTGAAAACACGGTTGCGAACATCTGAATTTGCGTGGAAAGCCACTTTCAATGCAAAAAGCTTTTCACCGATCTGCGGAGTGTTACTTTTACTTTTTTTCACCGTTTGTTCGTGCTGTTCTCTATTCTCTCTCTACAGCGTTTAACAATTTATTCACAGAATGGTTGACGCCCGCTTGCCAACAAAGAACTGCGCTTTTTCAATCTTGGATTTGAATCGTGTTTTTCAGTAGGCGCTCTGTTGTCTACTATGCAGTTACGGACTCATGATGCGGGTTGGCAGTGTTCAGGTGCAACATAGACTTCAGTTCTGCAGAGATCGCTGCCGTGACAGGTTTGGTGTATATCCATTTGGTCCGAGCAGCCTCGTTCAGTGTTATGCCGTCCCGACCACTCTCTTCCTTGGCGTCTGAATTATACGTTAGCTCAAGGAGCATGTCACGAGAGACGGCGTTGTGGCTGCCAGCTGCTCGTCTTCCAACAAACACTACTTTCATCAGTGCAGTGTAGACGTCGGGAGCAGTGTTGGGCAGCTTCTTCATCTCTGCCAAATATAAAAGCAGGGACTGCTGTCCGTACTTGAAGTGCCCGGCTGCAGTGAGGTAGGGGAGCATCCTTGCCGACTCACACAGGTGGCCCATCCAGTTTCCTTCTCGTTGATGGTAGAGGAATCTGTGCAGCATGTCTGCCATATCTAGGAAATTGGACCAGAAGAGAGCTGTGGGATGGTCGCCTAGTGAGTTCTGGAAGTCCAGCATCTGATCTTGAAGAGCTGCTAGCTGGGTTTTTCGGATCATCTCCAGCTGCTCAGTCACGGCAATGTTGTTCTCACGCAGCCTCTTCAACAGGTCTTCAACACTACCTTGCCACTGAGTGGTATCTCTGTCAGCCACCCAGGCTTCGAATGACTCCCATCTGAGAAGCCACATGACCTCACTAAGGATTCTGATTGCATGAACTGTCTGATAATAGTCGGCTTTCTCCCAAAACATCTTTCTTGCAGTGCCTTAAATTCCTGGCACAGGCCAGCTGTGACCACAAGATCTTCTGCTCCTGCACCCCTGATGATCTTACAGATCGCCTTCACATAGTTGTGTGCCTGGTGAAAGCCTCCCAGGAGCAAGACTACGTTGGAAAACTCATCATGGTGTTTGTCCCTGATCGCTACTGCGAGTTCGTATGTGGCTTGGTCACCAGTAATTATTGTATGCCTGCCACCAAGTGCATGTAACGTCTTTACCAGCCTTGTCATCTCCTCGCCTGTATCGCGAGTACGCGGCGTTGTGTTGCATGTGTGGAGCTTCATTTCGATATTGGTTCAATAAAGTGTAGTTTATAGATGGAAGAACAGTTACTTTCGTCAGCGAGGCGATACCCAGTGGGCAAAACTCCTCAAAAATCCTCTGGTAATTGCCCCCTAATGTAGACGTCTGCGAGGATATTGACGAGGTTTGTTTCACACACTCTGAATTTCCTTACGTTGTTCCATGTATATACTGTAATATGATATGTACTGAACCCAAAATATACCTTAACGGCTCATAGACTGTAAGAAAATGTTGGACAAGTAAAATCAAATTTCGGACAAGGAAAAGTTGCTTCTTGTTGCCAGACATGACAACAAGATCTGACTAGTTGATCCTAACCGGTAGCCTTCGATATCCACTTAAAGTGCCCTTAACTCTTGTTATGACTATCTGATCGCAAAAATGACTGCACCAGTTGTCTTCCCATGCCTGAAAACCTATAGAAAGAGGTACTATATAACCAAGTTTATCACTGCCATGATAATGACATTGAATTTAACGAAGATCGTAACCGGAAGTCAATAATGGCCACTTCCGCTTTGAAATTGTGATAAATAGACTCAGCATCATCCCAAACCCCTGAAATGACGCCAGGATCGTGATAATATGTTCATTATTAGCAGAAACAGGCCCGGGGTCAGTCAGGGAGTCATGGGAAAGAAAAGCCCCTCCACGGGGGTCGAGAGGTCGGAAAATTTGGTCCCCACCATTTTCTGATAGTTTGACCCTAAATCAACTGGATAAAGCAAAAAATCTTAGCTCTAAAAAAATTCTAAGGGAGCTATTTTCATGACACGCCATACCCCACTATAATGTACAAAATGCTGTTTTTAGTTCATATCAAAATGTTAACTTTGGAGCAATATAACTTTATTGTTAGAAAAGCAATGAACTTGAGCTTTTGCGACAATATTAACCATAAATATGGGCAGTTTTCTGAAAAGTTTCAATTTATTACTCAAAAGGACTTTTGAAATATGGAGAAAAATGTGTTTTGGTGCAATTCATATTTTGGTGAAAAATGGTAAAAAATCACATTTTTGGCCCAAAATTGTTATTAAAATTATCACCAAGCCCATTAAATGTAGTATCATCTTGTAGAAAATTTAATTCCCTTTAATATGATACCACACAC